CAAGCTGAGCACTGGACTCAATCGGAAAACTGATTTTTGCACACAGAACACTGGACCATGTTGAAAGCGTCAGATTGTTTTTTTTATTTTTATTTTTTACGATTAAATAGTATTTTAATACTTTTAAAAGGTTTGAAAAGGTTGACGATGTACGAAATTCATATGAATGCACGTATCCACGTACGCTTTAGCCTGCTGTTCACACTGTATAAGATCTAGTATATCACACCTTTATTTCACACCACCAATTACTCTTTGTTTAGTCAATAAAAATAAAATATAAGCTTGAAAATAACATTTAAAGATTTTATTTAAGTAGGTAAACAGCCAACGGGCAATGAAGAGAGCGATGCTTGGTATTTCTCTACGTTATCGAATTAAGAATGAGGAGATCCGTTGGGAAACTAACGTTACTGCAACATTATTCAAAGAATTGCTCAACTAAAGTGGCAGTGAGCGGGATACATAGCAAGAAGAACTGAGGGCCATTAGGGCGGAAGAGTTTACGAATGGTGACCACGGACCGGAAGACGCTCAGTAGGTAGGCCTCCCACTAGGTGGACCGACGATCTTATAAAGGTTGGGAAGCCGCTGGATGCTGGCACCGCAGGACCGATCGCTGTGGAGATATATGCTCAGCAGTGGGCGTCTCACGGCTGATGATGATGATGAGTTAAACAGATTATTGTCAAGTTAAAAAGACGAAATAAAAACATTTATTTTCATCATCACCTGTTTTACATCATAAATTACAAGTAAACAGAGATCGATCTAAATTTATCGAAAATTGTCATCTATAATCATACTTACAAAATTTCATAATAAACTTCCTTCCTCATTCGAATTTTACACACATGAAGGATAAATCAAGATTTTAAAAAAAGTAGCATTAATTTTCAATTTTGAAATAACATAATTTAATTGGTAATTGTTAATCAGGCGAAAAATTAAAATGTTAAACAATAAACTGTTTTCGGTAGATGACGCTACTGTATTTTTAAAACGGGTTTGATTTTTTATGTTTGTTGTCTTAATTGTTTTTTAGATTTTTATCAAACAAAGTCGCTTTCATTTTCAATTTTGCTGTTCCATAGGCAACAAGGAACCCTTATAGTTTCGTCGTATTCCGTCTGTCTGTCCGTCGATATGCGGTTTAGCTCAAAAACGATTTGTATTTGAAAGGCATAATTTGGCATGAGTATACACTTTAATCACGTCGGCAAAGAGTTAAAATAAAATCTTGAAAAACCTTTTTTTCTGGTATTTCCTCTACATGTAAAGTTGAGGATGTTTTTATTATCTTCCCAAAGCGTGCGTGGGATATCGTTGGATAGGTCTTTCAAAAATATTAAGGGCGTGGCGAGACGATTTTTTGATTTAGTTAATCGTTGGTGATTTATTAAGCTTCAAAGTACCGATTTTCATTAGAGTCGGGGGATATTTGACTCCCCTCTAACAATTAAACGGTTGTTGTTAGAAACGCAAACGTTACAACAGTAGTATATTTATATATAACGAATTAAATAGAAAAACTATCATAATTAAGTTACTTTTACAAATTTACGAGTAATAGTCGACCAAATGCATTTGACTAGAATATTTCGAACTCCTTTGAAAATAACAAACGTGATTTTATTGCGTTTTTTATGGATACGCATAATTCGCAATCTTTTGTTTTTTCGCTAAAATAAATATATCATTTGATTATTTGAGTGATATTAAATTAATGCATATTTTGTTTTGAGTCAGTATTAAAAGAAAACCTCAAGCCATTAAGCTGTCGAAAAAAAAAAAATTCGTAAATCGGTTAACAATTCGCGAAAAATACAAGGTAAGTACATAAAAAATACAGCGCTGTCGAACATAGACCCTCCTTCTTTTCGATTTTGAAGTCGGTTAAAAATATGTCGGGCGCAAAACATTATTAATAAATAAAAACTTTGAGATATTACATAAAATAAAATCATAAAATCAAGATAATTGATACGATAAAAATTATGAGATATTACATAAAATCAAGGTAATCACGCAGTGTCGGATTGAGCTAGAGGGGTCTGTAGCAAATTTTTTGACCCCACTTTAATTTGCTCGATATTAATTAAATATTATATAGGTATAGTAACTGAAATAAAACAAAATTCTTAGAAACAGGCTTTGTAATTATAACATTTCATAGTAAAGTCTTCCGATCACATAATATACCTTTCGTGATGACGATAAAGAATAATCGCTATCAGTAATTTTGCAAATGAAACAGAAAAGTCGTCTTTTGTGAATGGGCGAGTTTTCGCGAGTTTAACGAGATTGCACTCGAGCATAAAAACAATTTATTCCAACTGCGGCATCGCGAATTTATGCGAGTCCGGGGGGTTAAAAGGCGAAGTTTTACACTTTTACAGTACTTGTGTTTTCGAAAGGGCGCCATAATAAGACAAATAGCAAAGATTCTTTGCTATTTTTTTTAAGAAGCTACTTTCGAAATTATTCGTAATAATGACGTGTAAAGTGAACTGAATAAGCCTTTAAATTGATTGGTATATTTCGTTAATTTATTCTCTAATTTCTAATAGATCCCTGGGTAAACAGTTTTCTTTTATTGATAATAATCTCAGTTTAATAGTCAATTAAACTTAGTTATTGAGTTTCTTTTTGGTTTTTGAATTTTTGTTGTAAAAAACTGTATTATAATTAAACTTTTGTTTGATATTAGCAGAGAAGACTGGTTGTTTATTTTATTTCGTATTAGATTAGATACGTCAAAATTTAGTTTCTTAAAAGATTAGTACCTGGGTGGCTAAGCTTAACTCGGCACTTACACTAAATAAAAATACCTAACTAAATCGATTTAACGCCACTGAAAGCATATGTAATGTCATGAAAATTGTTGGAGCCGTTTCCGAGATTATAATACAGTAATCGATCTTTTAAAGGTTTTTAATAAAAAAAAAATGCGACAAATAATGTGAAATACATGAAACTTTATTGAAAATACCCGTAAAAATAATTTTTTATTTCATAATACATATAATTCCTATATTTTCTTCCTAATTTATTCAAATATGAAATTGAAATAAATATTACAGTAAAACACACAAAATTGCCAATCTTGCGAGATCTCGTTATTGGCGGAATCTCGCGATATTGTTATTCATAAACTCGCGAGATCTCGCCCTAGTCTCAATCTCGCGAGATTGCATTCCCTATTTGTGGGGTGGATTAGTTAAATAAAATGAACGACTTTTACTATGGAAGCAACACTGAATTCACGAAAAACAATAATTAGCTGTATATAAACATAACATTAATATCGATGATAAAGATATTGAAAGAGAAAATGAGGCGACCGACGATGCCGAAAAAACTTGAACTATATCCCTTGACGACACCTGATGTTAATAAGATTTGCACCAAGACAAAAAGCTCGCGATACTCCCGCTACCTCCGACATCCCAATCAGTAGTCAATGTAATTCACCTTGTCAAAAGCCTCACTAAAGTCTATATATATTGTGTCGACAAAATTACTAAGAACTTAACTATTAGTCTCCACAACATAACTATTCTGCCATCTAAGATATGTATATGTGGTTGTATTGAATGGGTTTGGATTTAAGCTTTGTATAGGCTATACCAGATAATCCTGTCGCATATACAAGGAAGAAGTAGTTTGCGCTAAGCATAACTAGATTTTTCTGAAATCTGATTGATTACGAAGGAAAATTTCGAATAACTCTCATAATTTTGTTAAATTCATATCCGTGAAGATCATTTCCTTGGCCTAGATTAAAGTCAAGAGTGAGCCTCTTATAAATAAAAAAATACCTGTGAATATAGAGGCAATGTCAGCTTCTAGCTCCGTTCAGCTTGTTTAGAGTTATATTAGCGTTTCGAAAGTACACTAAACTTCGTAATGTAATTTTTTAACTAAGCTTTTAATTTTGCTAACTGGCATGGCAATCGATGGCAAGCTCAGTAATTCAAAGACTTACCTAGCTAAAGCGAATGATACGTTATTATTGATTTGGTGTAATGAAAAATATTTAGCGCACTAGAACAAAAATGGATTGAAGCAACCGTGTAAAGGAAACACTTGGATATGTAAAATCATTTATTAGATAATTAATTATTGCCGAACGATTTATGTTTAAGTCAAGAATATCAAGATAGACGCATATTTCCATATTAAATGTACTCGTATAGAATATACTTAATTTAAATGTAATAAAATATGATATTTTTTTAAGGTTTATTTTTTTAGAGTGATATCGTTAAACATAATAATATAATACGTACGTAATATAATAATAATGTAATAATAGCATAATAATATAAAAAAAATGCAAATCTCATTAGTTAGTATATTGGTCTTTACCAAAATGTAAGGCGCTCTATTTATAACCAATTGATGATATAATTGATTGAAGTCCCGCCTGATATGACGGCAAGTAATCAACGTCAATCTATTACTAATTCTATCATTTACGTATAGGCGTTATCAAAGCTTCATGCTTTCCTGCGAGTAAATGTCACTCATCAGTGTAAACGAAAATAACTAAATATGGAATATTACATATAAAATGGAATACTGAAATTACTTTTAAATTATTCTTAGAAATTTTAGCATTAGGGAATTTGATAAACTGATCGAGAATTTTCTGGACTTCATGATATTTTTCCTCTATTAGAAATATTATAAGAACATATTTCAACGATCCATATTAGATTACATTCTACTACATATAGCACAAAAATATATTAAAACATAAAAACGTGTTCTAGTTATTTTAATATATATGTAATAAGGGCAATACATAATATGTGTAACGGAACGTTTTGATGATACAAGTAGTTTGTTGGCACAGATAATTTATGTCATACATTGTCGTTTTACTATGTTACTGACGTAGTAGGTATTTATACATGTATGTGTGATCGTAGGAGCGCGGGGCGAGTGAGGAGAGACGCGTGCGCGGGCAGCAGTCTCCCACGTCATAAACACGCGCGTCGCCGGCGCCCGCCGCCCGCACGTCCATTCAGCCATCAGTGATAAACAAACCTCGTCGGTGCCCTCTTGTCAGACATGCCGCGTGTTTGACTCGTCTCTCGGTCCCATATAGCAGCCTTCATGCATCTGTGCCTTCGTTCTACACAGAACAAGTGAGACATAATCCAAATGAAACTCTTTAATCAGTGTACAGTTCGACGTATACATGACCTCGGTGGCCTCTCATTACAGATGTCAGCCATCGCCGCACGAAGAACGGCGATTTTATCATATATTGGAAAATGACTGATGGCCTCATAGTTCAACATGAAAAACCGGTGAGTTCCAGCATCATAATGTAGTGATGAGCACGTCGGGCGTGCGCAGGCGCACTGCTCTAGCCCGCCCACCGCTGACTGACACACAATCATAATGTCAATGTTGCCATCTACAATACAACATAATTGCAAGGTCAACTTAATTCTCTCTCGAATTCTTTAACCCGCGAAACTATTCTTACTTAAATATATTAAACGGCTGTTTATCTAGTTTTCCGGTTTTATCACTTTTGGATAAAATTATCTGGTAACCGTCTGATAATATACCTAATTAACATTCACATTAAATAGTAAGATTATGACATTAAATCAGGTCAAATTAGTGCTTATCTGAATCATTATTACATAACGAAATTGAACATTAAGTTTCCTTAAAGCCGACGAGGTACATACCTAACATCAAATATTTTACTGTGTAAAATATTATTATTATTATTATCGATAATAATCGGAATGTCTCTTGATTAATTGATGCAGTCGCAATGCTATTACGTTAATAAATACCATAACTAGGTATATCGTAGAAAAACAATTGAACTTTTAGGTAATTTATATAAATATTTATTGACCAAAGCATCAAGGGTATTTCTCATTATTTGGATTTTTTCTTACCATAACCACAGATATACATACCTATGGAGTTTTTGTTCATTGTAATTTTATGCGTTTGCGTTTCACGTGTCTAATCTTTCCAAAAAATCTGTCAAATAAAAAATATCATATATATTACATTTTTTTAAAGTAATTGAGACAGGTTGCATCTTTCGTTAGATACTATGTTTAATCTTATATTACTCTTCAAAATATATTAATTTAAAATGCCTACGTTGATGACAAATTACCTGTACTATCAATAAATACATATCTATTCGTTAGTAAATATGGACAAACTATAATTTATCACCAAAGTAATGTGTGCACCTATATAACGAGTTTTCACCAATAATAATCATACACAAGTAATAAACTTCATCGATTTCTATTTGTTCTTATACGAATGTTAATATATCGTGCCACCACTAATAGCATAAGATATTGAAAGTTAATAGCAAATATGTCCACTTAAATGTTAGTTCCTGGCTGTATAGATCTACGAAAGGTACGTAAAAGGTCTATTCACTCCTAGCTGTTCCTAGGTTAGATTAATGTAAAGGTCCATGTTAGCTTACTGGTATATTTACGGTAAAAGAAAAACTGTAACGACAAATAAAAATAATATAAAACAGTTAATTATGGGGTTTACGAAAATTAGGTTACGTATTAATAAAACACTTAATTACATACCCCGTATATGCTAGGTAAGATGTTTCACGTATATTTATATCACATTATAGATTTAAATATAACTCTAAAAAAAATTTTACATTCATATAATAACTAGCTTTTGCGCGCGACTTTGTCCGCGTGGTATAGTTACTTTGAACAACATATATTTTCCAAAAACGCTGTTGTTTTTCGAGCTGATGATAATATGACCTTGATTTTTAAGTTCGAAGATAACACAACAAAACAAAAAACTAATATCCAATATGTTTTAGCACATTTATCTTTGAAAACTTTAGAGATATTAATCCAATCCAATACAATCCAAAAACAGTTCTGAAGTTTACACAAATCTTAATAGAAAACGTAATCTATATATAATTCTTTGAAAGAAATAGTTAGCGTTAGCTTAAATTTCTTAATATATTCTATTTTAAAACTCAATCTTGAGCAAAACAGTGCTGCTGTAGAATACTTAACGCCATCTAATATAGTTCGAAATGTATAATACTAATTTTTCTTTCGTAAACGAAATTACTTCCATTTGACACCAATTTTCATCTCTATGTAATTTAATATTTGTAAATAATAATAGATACAATTCTTACCCAATAACAAATAAACAATGGTTGCTATGGTAATATTTCAATTTCTATAAAAACACAGTACAAATATAAAAACTTCCACTTCCCGTTTTCACCCTATAAGTGGTAGTTTTTGGTATAAAATTATGTTTTCAGGGCCTTAAACTACTCAAATATTCATTTTCATCGATCCAAAAACAAAAAGGTATCATAGAAACGTTTCACCCCTTTTAACTCTCTTCAAGGTAGAATTTCCAAAAATTCGCTCTTAGTATCTTCGCAATAAGACGAATGTACCTCTTGTTTCTTTTATTTTAGATATATGGTGGTGATATGAACTGTAACGAATGGGAATCTTTTCATAACACTTCTTTATAGACTATATTTTTGACTTGTCCGTCCGGAGGCGCTTAGATGAGGAGAGATCTTGAAGAGCTGACTCGAGAGCACGCCACGTAAAATTACCCATGCGAAACAGTCTTCCCGCAAGTTGACTCCAGCGTATTTTAAAGATTCGTCCTTGCAGCTTATTGATTGTGTGGTCTGCAAAACAACAACCTCGAAATTAAGAGCGAACTGCTAAGCGATTCATGAATTGGTCTGGAAGATCATTCGATCTCACCTATCACGCGACCTAAGGTGGTGAATCATATAGGAACTTAAGTTCAGTTCATATCTCAAAAACTTTTATATCCTTCAATATATTTTTAAAATCCACTGGAGCTAGGCCCGTATCCTGTCTTTATTACACCTGCGACATATTCATAAAACTATAGAAATAGCCTTTGCTGCTGCACTTTCGCACTGCACTCCTACATTTATCTCACTAAATTTAATCAAGAAATTCGTTGTCACCCTCTTTCGTTGCTTAGTCACCAAAAATTAAAATAAATATTGTATCACAAAAACAATGCGACATCAGCGCTCTCTTACTGAGACTTACGTAACTTACGATATGATCACTTACTCTTGGCCACATCATGAAGAAGTTATACTATCAGCCGCCCATATCGTTAAACACAAATCTCTGATGTGTGCAGCAAGAGTTTTCCATTTCATGAAATATACACATTTGATGAAATGGCTGGCCGCATCATGAATCGGTCAATTGTACGATCTGGCCACGAATATGTATTAAACCTATACTACGGTACTTACACAATATTAATGAACGAATGTAAAAAAATAGGATTTGTGGGTATATATCAACTTGAAAATCTTAGGTTAAGCAATACCTAGCAATACTTATCCTCGTTAAATTAATTACTGCTGAAACGAAAAATACAAATAATTTCAATTTCTATAATCAAAACTTGGAGTAACATTTTAATGTTTTTGTTGATGATATATTAGGTTTTCGGTTAGAGTATAATTTTCCCAAAGACTAGAGATTAATCTTATGGTACCATTAGTCTCATAAGTTTGTATACTTATTTGAGTACCGCGGACAGGGTACAGAACGAAGGAGTCGTCTGTATTTAAACGTACTTTTATATACCGGATAAACATTTTCTGTGATGGTAGCAGTTCCAACCTAACATAACCCACTACTGGCTTCCCCCCATAGGTCTCCAAGACGATCGGTTCAGTTCTGCCTGCATCCAGCGGCTTCTCGTAAATCTTGTCAGACGGTCGGTCCACTTGTTGGGTGACTTATGAATGACTCTATCTTATTACTGTTTCATAAAAAAGAAGGACTTTTTGTGTTTGAAAATGAAACTATATATATTTTTTATTAAATCGATTTGAAACAATTATAGACCAATTATAAAATAAAAAAATACTCGTAATACATATCATAAAGGCTCTTCTACGTTAAAAATTCCATCGAAGTCAGCCAGAGGTAATGGTGCCGGTTTAAAAAAAAAAAAATTAAGTGATTTCACATCCCAAAAACCACAGAATAGAGAAACTAAGCCCAAATGCCTTTAAGCTTTCGAACGAAGAAATAATTTCAAAAATCGGCCTGCAATTGACAGCGAATTCGGTAAAAACACATAAAAAAATATATAGGTATGTACCATTGCAACATAGTACCTTATTGATTTGAGGTTGAATTGAATTAGACTGAATAAAAAAAGGAAATATTTTCTCAATAATCTAAAAAGTACAGAAAACCAATTTTAAGTTTTCCGTACACGGTAATACCTCAGCTAAGAATCTAAGTAATCAAAGCTAAAGATCTCTGACAAATGTATGTTCTTGCATATTTAGGACATGAACGTTTTACAAAGCAAGCAAACGAACGTTCTTCAAAACCAGCACACGATCGTTCTTCAAAACCAGCACACGAACGTTCTTGCATATACATGCGAGACACGAACGATTTTCATATAGATTACGAAAATTCTTGCAAATATAAGACACGAATGTTCTTGCAAATTTGCTTGTTTTGGTCACAGTTCTAACATAACCTAACCGATTGACCATAGGTCTCTCTTTATGGCTCGCTTCGTTTGCTTTTTGTTTTGGTTACAGTCTTAACCTAACCTAATCAATTGATCGGGTCTCAATTTATAGTTCACTTCGCTCGCTTTTTATTTTAGTCACAGTTTTAATCTAACCAATTGGCAAGGTCTCTATTAATGGTGTTTTTTTATGGCTCGATTCGCTCGTTTTTTGGTTTAGTCTCATTTTAAACCTAACTTTTCATCTGGCAACATTTCAGCTGAATACATAAATATTTTTTTCTAGACATAATCTGAAAAATGTTATAAAATGCTCCAAATGCTGCGCTAGAGTGCGAAACGTTAATAGTGGGCATTAAATTATCAAACCGCTGTAGCCACCAGTTTTGCCAGGTAATGACGACGATAATGATCAAATGTCATTTCGGTTAGCGTCCTCCATTGAGAAAAGGCATTTATAAATTTTCTAAAATGGCTTGTTCTATTTTTTCCTTTTTGTGGAAAATTATCCTAAAATTGAGAACAGTTTCATATCAAAGAACTAGTCGAGACCCACGATAGATCGATAAAAGGCAAAGAGCTCCAATGTTGCCTGTCTGTGCCAAAGACACGTTTAATTTTTTCGAAAAATGAGAAAAAATGATCAAATAACCGCTAACAGTGATTTTCCCGTGTTTCATAATTTTCCCATAGTCACGACCATATTCGGCGCAGGCTTCTAATTCACAGATGTTCTCTGCTGGCAGTGGCGTAACTATACCGTTTGAGGCCCGTGGCAAATTCATCGGATATTCATTTTTTTAACTAATGGTGCAATAATAAATGTCAGGAATAAGGAGTCTCTTCTGACCGGGGGCCCTTTCCAGCTGGGGGCCTGTGGCATTTTGCCGACTTGCCACCCTGTAGTAACGCCATTGTCAGTTGTCCTACCAGGTTCTCAAAACAATTCAGGTTATGATGTCGATAAAATCTTTTCTACCATTAGGCTTCCCCAGCGCCACACCTCTTTGAGTTCGTTTACCGCGAAAAGTGTATATTTCCAAATTTCACTTTTCTAACAAAATCTCATAAGCTACAACGATAATGGTAGAAATTAGTCGTAAAAAAAAGATCCTACTGGGCCCCACGACCGACCGATACATAGCAAGCCGATTGATGTTGACGAGTACCATGACAACTGGGATGGGGTGTAAATAGGTACGTTATATGAAGTTAATGGAATATAAAAAATAGTTGTTTGCATCCCTATCAATTACACCGCTTTCACATTAAGGTGTGTCGCGCGACAGTCTAAATCTGACAGTACGACTTGGTATGCGTCGTGCCTAACACAAGCGCTACATGTCGTAGCACAACCAAACCATCTATATTATTATAAAAGTAAGCTTTGTGTTTGATGAATATCGATATTTAATAAAACATGCATTTCTGTCAATATATTTTACTAGAAATTAAATCTATTCTAGTTACAGAACCCTGTGACTTTGATTGTAACTCGTCTCAACCAATTGATTTCAAATCCTATGAAAATATGTTTAAAATATAGAATTTATATCGTATTTTACTGACATTTAATAATCGGCCATCCATAAAATACCAAAAATCTAAGCTTCACCAACCAACGACAAATATTATAAAATGAGAAGATACCTAATCCTAGAAAAACCTAATGATAGAAAAATGTTCGAAAGATTTTTTTTTTTTCTCTAAACACCTACTTCTTTCTTCTTTATTGCTTTCCCACTATGTCATTTTGCATAGCATAATGATTGAATATGTAACTTAAATTTGTCCTAATAGCAATATCAGTACAAAGTTCCTATATGATGAGTACCATGGCAACTCCAGATGGGGTGTAAATAGATACGTTATATGTAGTTATTGGAATATAAAATGAAAGATCAGCGTTGGTATAATAAAACTTTTATATTTTGAGATTATTTTTTTTTACATTTAACATCATCACATACAAATTAAACTTATCATAAAAGAGTCAACAAATGATTCCTTATAATTAAAACATACGAGAACTGCAGATGGGGTCTGAATACATACGTAATATGTAGTTTATGGAATATAAATTTAAAAATCAGCATTGCTATAATAAAACTTCTATATTTTATTTATATTTTTAGATTCAAATTTTTACATTTATCATCACATACAAATTAAACTTATCATAAAAGAAGTCAACAAATGATTCCTTATAATTAAAACGTACGAGATCGCACTCACAGCGCATTGAAAGTTTTATAAAAAAATCCTAACATATTACTTACTAAAATACATAGCTACCTAAGTCACAAAATAGTAAATGCACTTCTAGTTACAATTATTGCTAAAACATCCCCCTTAGGTATGCGATAAAACAAAAATTCAATATACGAATATCACTGGAACATCTAGTCACAAAGTATCACAGCCTCGGAAGGGCGGAGGCGCCCTAGATATTGACGATTCAAAGCTCAGGCTTTTCGATTTCAGCGTTCTTCAACATTTCCTGTAGTGATGCTGGCAACTCAGGTACACTATAAATAGAGTCGGAGAGCGGCGGCAATGTGATCGCATCCAAGTGCTTTTCGTAATCAGAGAAAGCAACATACAGTCGCGTCGCACATTCTATTTCGTCCTCTGTCATTTTCGTCAAACGCAACTGATCCTTTAATTGGATTTGCGACTTGCCACATTTAGTGCAAGTATCATTGAGGGCGTACGGCTTCGATGATCTTCGCCGAACATGTTTGCATTGTACAGGCTTTATGAATTTGTGTCGAGACGGGGTAGGTGTGGCATGTGTTTCCGGTATTATCACCAGACGATCGCTAGGATTGTTCGCATCGGCATGCCCTACCGCCTCGCCACCTTCGACCTTGAGTGCTGGCCACAGCGGTTTCGATGGTTTCTCCACGTCGATGGACATACACTGATATTTAGTGCTACCCTTTACCTCGTCTTCAATGACCAGACTATAACTTAAGCGAACCTTCTTTGGTTCAGTGCTGTGTTTTAGATACACGTCAATGAGTATGTCTGAAGACACGCTGCCCGTCTCTTGGATCTCATACGGCGGCTTCCGAACCTCTGCAAAGGAATAAAATGTAAACATGAACTAAATTTGTAATCAAGTATTAAAGACAAATGTTAGCATCGTCATATACTTGTTTTAGAGATTGATTAATTACTATAAACTACCCAAATTCATTGGAAAAAATCTGTAAAATATACAAACCTCTTTTGGTGTAGACAAACGCGCTGGCTGGTCGCAAAAGGAAGACAACTTTATGCACGAAAGCGCTGATGTCGAGACCGTTCGCCCCGCACACCCACAGCCGCCAGTCAAGCGCTTGTGCACGACCCCGCGCATTACTTCGTGGTTGACACGAATGTCCCACTTCGAGCCAAACACGCTCGCTCATCTGTCGAATAACAATCAAAATTTGTATAATTCTCTCCAGAATCATAACATGTTATGTTAACATTAGAAAAACTAATAGACAATGCTTATAAATTATTTCGTCGGAGCTCACTGCTGTACCAATGACTAAAATACACAATAAGTAAGTGCACATGAAAAGAAAACGAACATTTTCACATTGTTTCAGAACAGTAATTAGTCAACTTAAACATTTTTAAATTTTACAACTTAACCAAACGCATGACAAACGCTTAAAAGCAACATATAAATTAAAATTAGTGTGTTCAACATGAGTGAGACCGCAATAAGAAACTATTGTGAGTGGGCAACTAAGTTCATGTTTAAACATAGATGTCGCTATATCAATTAACAAATTATATCAGAAGTAACTTACCGTAATTTTTTCACAAAATCACAAATTAACTCCCAATGAACACAATTAACGATTCAACAACAACATGCGCCGATGAATGCAAAGACTGTTATGAGGTGACCACAAGTGCATATATTTCATGAGAGTTTTGGCATTATAGTAAGCAGCTCGTTTGTGATTGGTCGAGAAAAATGTCACTAATGAACCGAGAGCTTGCAAGGGAGCGGTAGCGATGGTAACACAATTTCAAGTAATTAAATGTTGCAGGTAAAATTTCATCTTTTTTACCTGAAAGTCCCTTACTGCTTATATAATATGGAGGAAAGTTTTGATTTTATTTATTTTTTATTGAACTATGGTGAAAAATGTCTTTTGGTCTTTGGTGGAAACAGACGATGTCCTTGAAATATTCCATGTAAATTTATGACAAAATGATTTAATAATACAAAAAAATCTTCGGAACACAACTCGATACCAATTCGTTAGATATCAATCTATACCGATATAAAAAAGACTAGAGATTTGATTCTTTCTTTGTCAGTATAATTGTTTGTTTGCATCGAATAGGCTCCGATGCTACTCTAACGATTTTTATTTTTGTCACCTGTATTTTATCCCGTGAAACAGCAAATAAAAGAAAATGGGAGTGAAAGTGTGTATGGGGAATTAAAACCTTACCATAGTCACATTTTCTTACTATTCAATTTGTCATCTTAATTATATACATGTCATGATATGAATCGATATCCAAATGAACGGTTCCCTAGAGACCAGGCGGGTTAAGCTGCTGGCGTAAAGCTAGTTGGTATTATATTAAGATTGAGTACAGTAAAGCACGTCAGGTTATACAAAAATGTCTTGATTTCTAAGGTTCAAAACAAGAAATCTATGATAGAAAGAGAAAAAGTTGCTACTTGCCGGCCAGTGGACATAACAAAAATATTAAAAGAACCAGTATAATACTTGCAATTTTATATATGTACAGTTACATATTATGTATTATACAGTCCATTTTGAGACTTACTATTATTTTTCATTGTTTTTCTCATATGAAAATTGATAATTAGAATGAAATCAATTTTCATCCTACAATAATTCTAAAGTAAGTAAAAAGAGGTTAGTGAGATAGGTACCCAGAATCACCTCGATCGTCATCTTGACATTTTTCAAGAGTTTCGACAAATGACTGAAATGTTCTTCCGAAAAGTATGATTTCGAAGATTCATAACAAGAAATCTCTTAGGGAAAGAGAACAACCAAAGTGACTGAATTCGAAAGAAAACATAGGTGGCCATGTTGCAATTCTTGCAAACTCCCGTCGAAGCTTCTACTTGCCGGCCAGCGGACCTAACAATAATAACGTTGTATTATGTGTATCATTCATATATATATATATATATATATATATATATATATATATTTTCTTTTAATTAGGAGGACTAGAAAAATACTCGCAGTTTTTATATAAGTATGTACAATTACAATTACACATTTTGTTTCATTCAGTGTATATTTAGATTTTACTATTATTTTTCATGGTTCTTCTCATATGAAAATGAATAAGCTAGAAAGAAAGAAATTTTCATCCTACAATAAGTAAAAAGTAAAAGACCAGAGGCTATCGATATTTATCTTCGCATGAAACACTCCGAATCACCTAGATCGTCATCTTGTTACATTTTAGTCTTGACATCTATAAATCTTCACAAATTTAAAGGTTTCAGGAAATAATGGAAATTTATTTCCGAAAAGCTTCATTTCTAAGATTCAAAACAAAAAAGAAGCAATCTACGAGAGAAAGAGAAAATCAAAGTGAATGAATTCGAAAGAAAACAAAGGTGGCCATGTTGCAATACTTGCAAACTCGCGTCGAAGCTAGTGCTCGCTGGCCAGCGGACCTAAAAGTGTAACGTTGTATTATGTATATCATTAATAATACTCGCAATGTTTATTACAATTACATATATTATTATGAATCATTTAGTCCATTCTGAGTCTTGCTATTATTTCACATGGTTCTTCTCGTATGAAAATAAATAAGTTAGAAAAAAATCTATTTTAACCCTACGATAAGTCAAAAGTCAAAGTGAGTAAAGATTAGTGAGATGTATCTTCGCATGAAATACTCTGAATCACCTCGGTCGTCATTTTGACATTTTTAAGAATTTCAAGAAATAATTGAAATGTTCTTCCGTTCAAAATAACATAACAACATTTTTAACACAGAGCGGATAGCAGGCAACGGTGTTTCAGACATAGGGTCCCGTTGTATCCTAAAAACAATCATAGAAACGGGAAACATTAACTCGTACTACTATTAACTCTATTAACTCGTCTGGTGGTGTTTAATAGGTGTAATATTTGCACGTCGTCCTGACGACAAAATATTCTGGGCATTTGAAAATTGTTAATAACGTGTACAATCATATTTTTTTATTATTGATATATTTCATGTAAATCTATAAAATAAAAAATAAAAAAATAGTTGTTTGCATCCCTATCAATTACACCGCTTTCACATTAAGGTGTGTCGCGCGACAGTCTAAATCTGACAGTACGACTTGGTATGCGTCGTGCCTAACACAAGCGCTACATGTCGTAGCACAACCAAACCATCTATATTATTATAAAAGTAAGCTTTGTGTTTGATGAATATCGATTTTTAATAAAACATGCATTTCTGTCAATATATTTTACTAGAAATTAAATCTATTCTAGTTACAGAACCCTGTGACTTTGATTGTAACTCGTCTCAACCAATTGATTTCAAATCCAATGAAAATATGTTTAAAATATAGAATTTATATCGTATTTTACTGACATTTAATAATCGGCCATCCATAAAATACCAAAAATCTAAGCTTCACCAACCAACGACAAATATTATAAAATGAGAAAATACCTAATCCTAGAAAAACCTAATGATAGAAAAATGTTCGAAAGATTTTTTTTTTTTTTTTCTCTAAACACCTACTTCTTTCTTCTTTATTGCTTTCCCACTATGTCATTTTGCATAGCATAATGATTGAATATGTAACTTAAATTTGTCCTAATAGCAATATCAGTACAAAGTTCCTATATGATGAGTACCATGGCAACTCCAGATGGGGTGTAAATAGATACGTTATATGTAGTTATTGGAATATAAAATGAAAGATCAGCGTTGGTATAATAAAACTTTTATATTTTGAGATTATTTTTTTTTTACATTTAACATCATCACATACAAATTAAACTTATCATAAAAGAGTCAACAAATGATTCCTTATAATTAAAACATACGAGAACTGCAGATGGGGTCTGAATACATACGTAATATGTAGTTTATGGAATATAAATTTAAAAATCAGCATTGCTATAATAAAACTTCTATATTTTATTTATATTTTTAGATTCAAATTTTTACATTTATCATCACATACAAATTAAACTTATCATAAAAGAAGTCAACAAATGATTCCTTATAATTAAAACGTACGAGATCGCACTCACAGCGCATTGAAAGTTTTATAAAAAAATCCTAACATATTACTTACTAAAATACATAGCTACCTAAGTCACAAAATAGTAAATGCACTTCTAGTTACAATTATTGCTAAAACATCCCCCTTAGGTATGCGATAAAACAAAAATTCAATATACGAATATCACTGGAACATCTAGTCACAAAGTATCACAGCCTCGGAAGGGCGGAGGCGCCCTAGATATTGACGATTCAAAGCTCAGGCTTTTCGATTTCAGCGTTCTTCAACATTTCCTGTAGTGATGCTGGCAACTCAGGTACACTATAAATAGAGTCGGAGAGCGGCGGCAATGTGATCGCATCCAAGTGCTTTTCGTAATCAGAGAAAGCAACATACAGTCGCGTCGCACATTCTATTTCGTCCTCTGTCATTTTCGTCAAACGCAACTGATCCTTTAATTGGATTTGCGACTTGCCACATTTAGTGCAAGTATCATTGAGGGCGTACGGCTTCGATGATCTTCGCCGAACATGTTTGCATTGTACAGGCTTTATGAATTTGTGTCGAGACGGGGTAGGTGTGGCATGTGTTTCCGGTATTATCACCAGACGATCGCTAGGATTGTTCGCATCGGCATGCCCTACCGCCTCGCCACCTTCGACCTTGAGTGCTGGCCACAGCGGTTTCGATGGTTTCTCCACGTCGATGGACATACACTGATATTTAGTGCTACCCTTTACCTCGTCTTCAATGACCAGACTATAACTTAAGCGAACCTTCTTTGGTTCAGTGCTGTGTTTTAGATACACGTCAATGAGTATGTCTGAAGACACGCTGCCCGTCTCTTGGATCTCATACGGCGGCTTCCGAACCTCTGCAAAGGAATAAAATGTAAACATGAACTAAATTTGTAATCAAGTATTAAAGACAAATGTTAGCATCGTCATATACTTGTTTTAGAGATTGATTAATTACTATAAACTACCCAAATTCATTGGAAAAAATCTGTAAAATATACAAACCTCTTTTGGTGTAGACAAACGCGCTGGCTGGTCGCAAAAGGAAGACAACTTTATGCACGAAAGCGCTGATGTCGAGACCGTTCGCCCCGCACACCCACAGCCGCCAGTCAAGCGCTTGTGCACGACCCCGCGCATTACTTCGTGGTTGACACGAATGTCCCACTTCGAGCCAAACACGCTCGCTCATCTGTCGAATAACAATCAAAATTTGTATAATTCTCTCCAGAATCATAACATGTTATGTTAACATTAGAAAAACTAATAGACAATGCTTATAAATTATTTCGTCGGAGCTCACTGCTGTACCAATGACTAAAATACACAATAAGTAAGTGCACATGAAAAGAAAACGAACATTTTCACATTGTTTCAGAACAGTAATTAGTCAACTTAAACATTTTTAAATTTTACAACTTAACCAAACGCATGACAAACGCTTAAAAGCAACATATAAATTAAAATTAGTGTGTTCAACATGAGTGAGACCGCAATAAGAAACTATTGTGAGTGGGCAACTAAGTTCATGTTTAAACATAGATGTCGCTATATCAATTAACAAATTATATCAGAAGTAACTTACCGTAATTTTTTCACAAAATCACAAATTAACTCCCAATGAACACAATTAACGATTCAACAACAACATGCGCCGATGAATGCAAAGACTGTTATGAGGTGACCACAAGTGCATATATTTCATGAGAGTTTTGGCATTATAGTAAGCAGCTCGTTTGTGATTGGTCGAGAAAAATGTCACTAATGAACCGAGAGCTTGCAAGGGAGCGGTAGCGATGGTAACACAATTTCAAGTAATTAAATGTTGCAGGTAAAATTTCATCTTTTTTACCTGAAAGTCCCTTACTGCTTATATAATATGGAGGAAAGTTTTGATTTTATTTATTTTTTATTGAACTATGGTGAAAAATGTCTTTTGGTCTTTGGTGGAAACAGACGATGTCCTTGAAATATTCCATGTAAATTTATGACAAAATGATTTAATAATACAAAAAAATCTTCGGAACACAACTCGATACCAATTCGTTAGATATCAATCTATACCGATATAAAAAAGACTAGAGATTTGATTCTTTCTTTGTCAGTATAATTGTTTGTTTGCATCGAATAGGCTCCGATGCTACTCTAACGATTTTTATTTTTGTCACCTGTATTTTATCCCGTGAAACAGCAAATAAAAGAAAATGGGAGTGAAAGTGTGTATGGGGAATTAAAACCTTACCATAGTCACATTTTCTTACTATTCAATTTGTCATCTTAATTATATACATGTCATGATATGAATCGATATCCAAATGAACGGTTCCCTAGAGACCAGGCGGGTTAAGCTGCTGGCGTAAAGCTAGTTGGTATTATATTAAGATTGAGTACAGTAAAGCACGTCAGGTTATACAAAAATGTCTTGATTTCTAAGGTTCAAAACAAGAAATCTATGATAGAAAGAGAAAAAGTTGCTACTTGCCGGCCAGTGGACATAACAAAAATATTAAAAGAACCAGTATAATACTTGCAATTTTATATATGTACAGTTACATATTATGTATTATACAGTCCATTTTGAGACTTACTATTATTTTTCATTGTTTTTCTCATATGAAAATTGATAATTAGAATGAAATCAATTTTCATCCTACAATAATTCTAAAGTAAGTAAAAAGAGGTTAGTGAGATAGGTACCCAGAATCACCTCGATCGTCATCTTGACATTTTTCAAGAGTTTCGACAAATGACTGAAATGTTCTTCCGAAAAGTATGATTTCGAAGATTCATAACAAGAAATCTCTTAGGGAAAGAGAACAACCAAAGTGACTGAATTCGAAAGAAAACATAGGTGGCCATGTTGCAATTCTTGCAAACTCCCGTCGAAGCTTCTACTTGCCGGCCAGCGGACCTAACAATAATAACGTTGTATTATGTGTATCATTCATATATATATATATATATATATATATATATATTTTCTTTTAATTAGGAGGACTAGAAAAATACTCGCAGTTTTTATATAAGTATGTACAATTACAATTACACATTTTGTTTCATTCAGTGTATATTTAGATTTTACTATTATTTTTCATGGTTCTTCTCATATGAAAATGAATAAGCTAGAAAGAAAGAAATTTTCATCCTACAATAAGTAAAAAGTAAAAGACCAGAGGCTATCGATATTTATCTTCGCATGAAACACTCCGAATCACCTAGATCGTCATCTTGTTACATTTTAGTCTTGACATCTATAAATCTTCACAAATTTAAAGGTTTCAGGAAATAATGGAAATTTATTTCCGAAAAGCTTCATTTCTAAGATTCAAAACAAAAAAGAAGCAATCTACGAGAGAAAGAGAAAATCAAAGTGAATGAATTCGAAAGAAAACAAAGGTGGCCATGTTGCAATACTTGCAAACTCGCGTCGAAGCTAGTGCTCGCTGGCCAGCGGACCTAAAAGTGTAACGTTGTATTATGTATATCATTAATAATACTCGCAATGTTTATTACAATTACATATATTATTATGAATCATTTAGTCCATTCTGAGTCTTGCTATTATTTCACATGGTTCTTCTCGTATGAAAATAAATAAGTTAGAAAAAAATCTATTTTAACCCTACGATAAGTCAAAAGTCAAAGTGAGTAAAGATTAGTGAGATGTATCTTCGCATGAAATACTCTGAATCACCTCGGTCGTCATTTTGACATTTTTAAGAATTTCAAGAAATAATTGAAATGTTCTTCCGTTCAAAATAACATAACAACATTTTTAACACAGAGCGGATAGCAGGCAACGGTGTTTCAGACATAGGGTCCCGTTGTATCCTAAAAACAATCATAGAAACGGGAAACATTAACTCGTACTACTATTAACTCTATTAACTCGTCTGGTGGTGTTTAATAGGTGTAATATTTGCACGTCGTCCTGACGACAAAATATTCTGGGCATTTGAAAATTGTTAATAACGTGTACAATCATATTTTTTTATTATTGATATATTTCATGTAAATCTATAAAATAAAAAATAAAAAAATAGTTGTTTGCATCCCTATCAATTACACCGCTTTCACATTAAGGTGTGTCGCGCGACAGTCTAAATCTGACAGTACGACTTGGTATGCGTCGTGCCTAACACAAGCGCTACATGTCGTAGCACAACCAAACCATCTATATTATTATAAAAGTAAGCTTTGTGTTTGATGAATATCGATTTTTAATAAAACATGCATTTCTGTCAATATATTTTACTAGAAATTAAATCTATTCTAGTTACAGAACCCTGTGACTTTGATTGTAACTCGTCTCAACCAATTGATTTCAAATCCAATGAAAATATGTTTAAAATATAGAATTTATATCGTATTTTACTGACATTTAATAATCGGCCATCCATAAAATACCAAAAATCTAAGCTTCACCAACCAACGACAAATATTATAAAATGAGAAAATACCTAATCCTAGAAAAACCTAATGATAGAAAAATGTTCGAAAGATTTTTTTTTTTTTTCTCTAAACACCTACTTCTTTCTTCTTTATTGCTTTCCCACTATGTCATTTTGCATAGCATAATGATTGAATATGTAACTTAAATTTGTCCTAATAGCAATATCAGTACAAAGTTCCTATATGATGAGTACCATGGCAACTCCAGATGGGGTGTAAATAGATACGTTATATGTAGTTATTGGAATATAAAATGAAAGATCAGCGTTGGTATAATAAAACTTTTATATTTTGAGATTATTTTTTTTTTACATTTAACATCATCACATACAAATTAAACTTATCATAAAAGAGTCAACAAATGATTCCTTATAATTAAAACATACGAGAACTGCAGATGGGGTCTGAATACATACGTAATATGTAGTTTATGGAATATAAATTTAAAAATCAGCATTGCTATAATAAAACTTCTATATTTTATTTATATTTTTAGATTCAAATTTTTACATTTATCATCACATACAAATTAAACTTATCATAAAAGAAGTCAACAAATGATTCCTTATAATTAAAACGTACGAGATCGCACTCACAGCGCATTGAAAGTTTTATAAAAAAATCCTAACATATTACTTACTAAAATACATAGCTACCTAAGTCACAAAATAGTAAATGCACTTCTAGTTACAATTATTGCTAAAACATCCCCCTTAGGTATGCGATAAAACAAAAATTCAATATACGAATATCACTGGAACATCTAGTCACAAAGTATCACAGCCTCGGAAGGGCGGAGGCGCCCTAGATATTGACGATTCAAAGCTCAGGCTTTTCGATTTCAGCGTTCTTCAACATTTCCTGTAGTGATGCTGGCAACTCAGGTACACTATAAATAGAGTCGGAGAGCGGCGGCAATGTGATCGCATCCAAGTGCTTTTCGTAATCAGAGAAAGCAACATACAGTCGCGTCGCACATTCTATTTCGTCCTCTGTCATTTTCGTCAAACGCAACTGATCCTTTAATTGGATTTGCGACTTGCCACATTTAGTGCAAGTATCATTGAGGGCGTACGGCTTCGATGATCTTCGCCGAACATGTTTGCATTGTACAGGCTTTATGAATTTGTGTCGAGACGGGGTAGGTGTGGCATGTGTTTCCGGTATTATCACCAGACGATCGCTAGGATTGTTCGCATCGGCATGCCCTACCGCCTCGCCACCTTCGACCTTGAGTGCTGGCCACAGCGGTTTCGATGGTTTCTCCACGTCGATGGACATACACTGATATTTAGTGCTACCCTTTTTGTACAGGCTTTATGAATTTGTGTCGAGACGGGGTAGGTGTGGCATGTGTTTCCGGTATTATCACCAGACGATCGCTAGGATTGTTCGCATCGGCATGCCCTACCGCCTCGCCACCTTCGACCTTGAGTGCTGGCCACAGCGGTTTCGATGGTTTCTCCACGTCGATGGACATACACTGATATTTAGTGCTACCCTTTACCTCGTCTTCAATGACCAGACTATAACTTAAGCGAACCTTCTTTGGTTCAGTGCTGTGTTTTAGATACACGTCAATGAGTATGTCTGAAGACACGCTGCCCGTCTCTTGGATCTCATACGGCGGCTTCCGAACCTCTGCAAAGGAATAAAATGTAAACATGAACTAAATTTGTAATCAAGTATTAAAGACAAATGTTAGCATCGTCATATACTTGTTTTAGAGATTGATTAATTACTATAAACTACCCAAATTCATTGGAAAAAATCTGTAAAATATACAAACCTCTTTTGGTGTAGACAAACGCGCTGGCTGGTCGCAAAAGGAAGACAACTTTATGCACGAAAGCGCTGATGTCGAGACCGTTCGCCCCGCACACCCACAGCCGCCAGTCAAGCGCTTGTGCACGACCCCGCGCATTACTTCGTGGTTGACACGAATGTCCCACTTCGAGCCAAACACGCTCGCTCATCTGTCGAATAACAATCAAAATTTGTATAATTCTCTCCAGAATCATAACATGTTATGTTAACATTAGAAAAACTAATAGACAATGCTTATAAATTATTTCGTCGGAGCTCACTGCTGTACCAATGACTAAAATACACAATAAGTAAGTGCACATGAAAAGAAAACGAACATTTTCACATTGTTTCAGAACAGTAATTAGTCAACTTAAACATTTTTAAATTTTACAACTTAACCAAACGCATGACAAACGCTTAAAAGCAACATATAAATTAAAATTAGTGTGTTCAACATGAGTGAGACCGCAATAAGAAACTATTGTGAGTGGGCAACTAAGTTCATGTTTAAACATAGATGTCGCTATATCAATTAACAAATTATATCAGAAGTAACTTACCGTAATTTTTTCACAAAATCACAAATTAACTCCCAATGAACACAATTAACGATTCAACAACAACATGCGCCGATGAATGCAAAGACTGTTATGAGGTGACCACAAGTGCATATATTTCATGAGAGTTTTGGCATTATAGTAAGCAGCTCGTTTGTGATTGGTCGAGAAAAATGTCACTAATGAACCGAGAGCTTGCAAGGGAGCGGTAGCGATGGTAACACAATTTCAAGTAATTAAATGTTGCAGGTAAAATTTCATCTTTTTTACCTGAAAGTCCCTTACTGCTTATATAATATGGAGGAAAGTTTTGATTTTATTTATTTTTTATTGAACTATGGTGAAAAATGTCTTTTGGTCTTTGGTGGAAACAGACGATGTCCTTGAAATATTCCATGTAAATTTATGACAAAATGATTTAATAATACAAAAAAATCTTCGGAACACAACTCGATACCAATTCGTTAGATATCAATCTATACCGATATAAAAAAGACTAGAGATTTGATTCTTTCTTTGTCAGTATAATTGTTTGTTTGCATCGAATAGGCTCCGATGCTACTCTAACGATTTTTATTTTTGTCACCTGTATTTTATCCCGTGAAACAGCAAATAAAAGAAAATGGGAGTGAAAGTGTGTATGGGGAATTAAAACCTTACCATAGTCACATTTTCTTACTATTCAATTTGTCATCTTAATTATATACATGTCATGATATGAATCGATATCCAAATGAACGGTTCCCTAGAGACCAGGCGGGTTAAGCTGCTGGCGTAAAGCTAGTTGGTATTATATTAAGATTGAGTACAGTAAAGCACGTCAGGTTATACAAAAATGTCTTGATTTCTAAGGTTCAAAACAAGAAATCTATGATAGAAAGAGAAAAAGTTGCTACTTGCCGGCCAGTGGACATAACAAAAATATTAAAAGAACCAGTATAATACTTGCAATTTTATATATGTACAGTTACATATTATGTATTATACAGTCCATTTTGAGACTTACTATTATTTTTCATTGTTTTTCTCATATGAAAATTGATAATTAGAATGAAATCAATTTTCATCCTACAATAATTCTAAAGTAAGTAAAAAGAGGTTAGTGAGATAGGTACCCAGAATCACCTCGATCGTCATCTTGACATTTTTCAAGAGTTTCGACAAATGACTGAAATGTTCTTCCGAAAAGTATGATTTCGAAGATTCATAACAAAAAATCTCTTAGGGAAAGAGAACAACCAAAGTGACTGAATTCGAAAGAAAACATAGGTGGCCATGTTGCAATTCTTGCAAACTCCCGTCGAAGCTTCTACTTGCCGGCCAGCGGACCTAACAATAATAACGTTGTATTATGTGTATCATTCATATATATATATATATATATATATATATATATATATATTTTCTTTTAATTAGGAGGACTAGAAAAATACTCGCAGTTTTTATATAAGTATGTACAATTACAATTACACATTTTGTTTCATTCAGTGTATATTTAGATTTTACTATTATTTTTCATGGTTCTTCTCATATGAAAATGAATAAGCTAGAAAGAAAGAAATTTTCATCCTACAATAAGTAAAAAGTAAAAGACCAGAGGCTATCGATATTTATCTTCGCATGAAACACTCCGAATCACCTAGATCGTCATCTTGTTACATTTTAGTCTTGACATCTATAAATCTTCACAAATTTAAAGGTTTCAGGAAATAATGGAAATTTATTTCCGAAAAGCTTCATTTCTAAGATTCAAAACAAAAAAGAAGCAATCTACGAGAGAAAGAGAAAATCAAAGTGAATGAATTCGAAAGAAAACAAAGGTGGCCATGTTGCAATACTTGCAAACTCGCGTCGAAGCTAGTGCTCGCTGGCCAGCGGACCTAAAAGTGTAACGTTGTATTATGTATATCATTAATAATACTCGCAATGTTTATTACAATTACATATATTATTATGAATCATTTAGTCCATTCTGAGTCTTGCTATTATTTCACATGGTTCTTCTCGTATGAAAATAAATAAGTTAGAAAAAAATCTATTTTAACCCTACGATAAGTCAAAAGTCAAAGTGAGTAAAGATTAGTGAGATGTATCTTCGCATGAAATACTCTGAATCACCTCGGTCGTCATTTTGACATTTTTAAGAATTTCAAGAAATAATTGAAATGTTCTTCCGTTCAAAATAACATAACAACATTTTTAACACAGAGCGGATAGCAGGCAACGGTGTTTCAGACATAGGGTCCCGTTGTATCCTAAAAACAATCATAGAAACGGGAAACATTAACTCGTACTACTATTAACTCTATTAACTCGTCTGGTGGTGTTTAATAGGTGTAATATTTGCACGTCGTCCTGACGACAAAATATTCTGGGCATTTGAAAATTGTTAATAACGTGTACAATCATATTTTTTTATTATTGATATATTTCATGTAAATCTATAAAATAAAAAATAAAAAAATAGTTGTTTGCATCCCTATCAATTACACCGCTTTCACATTAAGGTGTGTCGCGCGACAGTCTAAATCTGACAGTACGACTTGGTATGCGTCGTGCCTAACACAAGCGCTACATGTCGTAGCACAACCAAACCATCTATATTATTATAAAAGTAAGCTTTGTGTTTGATGAATATCGATTTTTAATAAAACATGCATTTCTGTCAATATATTTTACTAGAAATTAAATCTATTCTAGTTACAGAACCCTGTGACTTTGATTGTAACTCGTCTCAACCAATTGATTTCAAATCCAATGAAAATATGTTTAAAATATAGAATTTATATCGTATTTTACTGACATTTAATAATCGGCCATCCATAAAATACCAAAAATCTAAGCTTCACCAACCAACGACAAATATTATAAAATGAGAAAATACCTAATCCTAGAAAAACCTAATGATAGAAAAATGTTCGAAAGATTTTTTTTTTTTTTTTCTCTAAACACCTACTTCTTTCTTCTTTATTGCTTTCCCACTATGTCATTTTGCATAGCATAATGATTGAATATGTAACTTAAATTTGTCCTAATAGCAATATCAGTACAAAGTTCCTATATGATGAGTACCATGGCAACTCCAGATGGGGTGTAAATAGATACGTTATATGTAGTTATTGGAATATAAAATGAAAGATCAGCGTTGGTATAATAAAACTTTTATATTTTGAGATTATTTTTTTTTTACATTTAACATCATCACATACAAATTAAACTTATCATAAAAGAGTCAACAAATGATTCCTTATAATTAAAACATACGAGAACTGCAGATGGGGTCTGAATACATACGTAATATGTAGTTTATGGAATATAAATTTAAAAATCAGCATTGCTATAATAAAACTTCTATATTTTATTTATATTTTTAGATTCAAATTTTTACATTTATCATCACATACAAATTAAACTTATCATAAAAGAAGTCAACAAATGATTCCTTATAATTAAAACGTACGAGATCGCACTCACAGCGCATTGAAAGTTTTATAAAAAAATCCTAACATATTACTTACTAAAATACATAGCTACCTAAGTCACAAAATAGTAAATGCACTTCTAGTTACAATTATTGCTAAAACATCCCCCTTAGGTATGCGATAAAACAAAAATTCAATATACGAATATCACTGGAACATCTAGTCACAAAGTATCACAGCCTCGGAAGGGCGGAGGCGCCCTAGATATTGACGATTCAAAGCTCAGGCTTTTCGATTTCAGCGTTCTTCAACATTTCCTGTAGTGATGCTGGCAACTCAGGTACACTATAAATAGAGTCGGAGAGCGGCGGCAATGTGATCGCATCCAAGTGCTTTTCGTAATCAGAGAAAGCAACATACAGTCGCGTCGCACATTCTATTTCGTCCTCTGTCATTTTCGTCAAACGCAACTGATCCTTTAATTGGATTTGCGACTTGCCACATTTAGTGCAAGTATCATTGAGGGCGTACGGCTTCGATGATCTTCGCCGAACATGTTTGCATTGTACAGGCTTTATGAATTTGTGTCGAGACGGGGTAGGTGTGGCATGTGTTTCCGGTATTATCACCAGACGATCGCTAGGATTGTTCGCATCGGCATGCCCTACCGCCTCGCCACCTTCGACCTTGAGTGCTGGCCACAGCGGTTTCGATGGTTTCTCCACGTCGATGGACATACACTGATATTTAGTGCTACCCTTTACCTCGTCTTCAATGACCAGACTATAACTTAAGCGAACCTTCTTTGGTTCAGTGCTGTGTTTTAGATACACGTCAATGAGTATGTCTGAAGACACGCTGCCCGTCTCTTGGATCTCATACGGCGGCTTCCGAACCTCTGCAAAGGAATAAAATGTAAACATGAACTAAATTTGTAATCAAGTATTAAAGACAAATGTTAGCATCGTCATATACTTGTTTTAGAGATTGATTAATTACTATAAACTACCCAAATTCATTGGAAAAAATCTGTAAAATATACAAACCTCTTTTGGTGTAGACAAACGCGCTGGCTGGTCGCAAAAGGAAGACAACTTTATGCACGAAAGCGCTGATGTCGAGACCGTTCGCCCCGCACACCCACAGCCGCCAGTCAAGCGCTTGTGCACGACCCCGCGCATTACTTCGTGGTTGACACGAATGTCCCACTTCGAGCCAAACACGCTCGCTCATCTGTCGAATAACAATCAAAATTTGTATAATTCTCTCCAGAATCATAACATGTTATGTTAACATTAGAAAAACTAATAGACAATGCTTATAAATTATTTCGTCGGAGCTCACTGCTGTACCAATGACTAAAATACACAATAAGTAAGTGCACATGAAAAGAAAACGAACATTTTCACATTGTTTCAGAACAGTAATTAGTCAACTTAAACATTTTTAAATTTTACAACTTAACCAAACGCATGACAAACGCTTAAAAGCAACATATAAATTAAAATTAGTGTGTTCAACATGAGTGAGACCGCAATAAGAAACTATTGTGAGTGGGCAACTAAGTTCATGTTTAAACATAGATGTCGCTATATCAATTAACAAATTATATCAGAAGTAACTTACCGTAATTTTTTCACAAAATCACAAATTAACTCCCAATGAACACAATTAACGATTCAACAACAACATGCGCCGATGAATGCAAAGACTGTTATGAGGTGACCACAAGTGCATATATTTCATGAGAGTTTTGGCATTATAGTAAGCAGCTCGTTTGTGATTGGTCGAGAAAAATGTCACTAATGAACCGAGAGCTTGCAAGGGAGCGGTAGCGATGGTAACACAATTTCAAGTAATTAAATGTTGCAGGTAAAATTTCATCTTTTTTACCTGAAAGTCCCTTACTGCTTATATAATATGGAGGAAAGTTTTGATTTTATTTATTTTTTATTGAACTATGGTGAAAAATGTCTTTTGGTCTTTGGTGGAAACAGACGATGTCCTTGAAATATTCCATGTAAATTTATGACAAAATGATTTAATAATACAAAAAAATCTTCGGAACACAACTCGATACCAATTCGTTAGATATCAATCTATACCGATATAAAAAAGACTAGAGATTTGATTCTTTCTTTGTCAGTATAATTGTTTGTTTGCATCGAATAGGCTCCGATGCTACTCTAACGATTTTTATTTTTGTCACCTGTATTTTATCCCGTGAAACAGCAAATAAAAGAAAATGGGAGTGAAAGTGTGTATGGGGAATTAAAACCTTACCATAGTCACATTTTCTTACTATTCAATTTGTCATCTTAATTATATACATGTCATGATATGAATCGATATCCAAATGAACGGTTCCCTAGAGACCAGGCGGGTTAAGCTGCTGGCGTAAAGCTAGTTGGTATTATATTAAGATTGAGTACAGTAAAGCACGTCAGGTTATACAAAAATGTCTTGATTTCTAAGGTTCAAAACAAGAAATCTATGATAGAAAGAGAAAAAGTTGCTACTTGCCGGCCAGTGGACATAACAAAAATATTAAAAGAACCAGTATAATACTTGCAATTTTATATATGTACAGTTACATATTATGTATTATACAGTCCATTTTGAGACTTACTATTATTTTTCATTGTTTTTCTCATATGAAAATTGATAATTAGAATGAAATCAATTTTCATCCTACAATAATTCTAAAGTAAGTAA